CTTCCCACAGCAGAGGCTCAAAGACCACAGGCCTAGGTTCCAACTCATAGCAACCCTGTACAGGGTTTCCAAGGCTGTAATCTTAATGGGAACAGAAAGCCTCATCTTTCTCCCATGGAACAGCTGGTGGTTTCGAACTGCTGAGCTTTGTAGGGTGAAAAAAATAGAGCCTGTCCTTTGAGATCAGGTCGCCTTGGCCTCCCATCCTAGCTCAAGTTCTCAGTCCCGGGTCTGCCCCTCACTTCCCACACCTATGAAATGGGGTTAATACTGACCCCTCTCTCTGGGGTTGTAATAAGGGTCGCATTGAATGGCAAAGTTATGGACTGCCAGCAGAAGCAATGAGTTGAGAAATGGAAACTTGTTTTATATGGTCTGGGAAACCCTGTACAGGGTCGCTACCACTCTGCCGCTAACCGAAAGGTCAGCATTTGAACCCACCAGCAACTCCATGGGAGAAATGACTGTAAAAACAAAAACAAAAGCCATTGAGTTGATTCCGACATAGTGACCCAATCAATGTAGGGTTTCCAAGGCTGAAAACCTTTTTGGGAGCAGACAGTCTCATCTTTTGCCTGTGGAGCGGCTAACGGGTTTGAACCACTGACCTTGCTAGTTAGCAGCCCAACATTGATCCTACAGCACTACCAGAAATCCTTTCTAGAAAGATCATTGTTGTTAAATGCCATTGAGTCAGTTCTGACTCACAGCCACCCTGTATACGGTTTCTGAGCAGCGGCTGGTGAGCTTGAACCACCGACCTTGCAGTTCAAATGGACATTGCTGTCCAGTACCACACCAGGATTGTTACTAAGTGCCGTTGAGTCAGTTCTAACTCATAGTGACCCTGTATAGGGTTTCCAAGAAGTGACTGGTTAGCTTGAACCAGTGAGCTTGAACAGCCAACCTCACCTTGCACCAGGATTACAGACTAGGAAACCCGACGGGGCAATTTCGCTGTGTCCTTTAGGTTGCTTTGAGATGGAATCAACAACAACAACAGCTATACTATCTGTCATCAGTGAGCTAACTCTCAAGCCTTTTTGCATTTTGATTGAGGACTGAGGAATCCCCAAGAGGGTGGAGATAATGCTGGTAGCAATGACACAGTCGCAGGTTAGTGCAGGAGACTTGGAGGTCATCATCATACACACTTACAGAGGCTCAGAGAGGTGAAGGGACTTACCCAATGCCACACAGCAAGTGGATGGTAGGGCCAGCGGGGAAGCAGCTCTCCCGACTTGTTTGTGGAGAAACAATTCCCACCAAGTTCTTTCAAACCACTTAGGTTCCTGGCAGATGGTTGTGAGGAGAGGGTGGCTTTCATAAATTCCAAGTTCAGACAGGTCGTAGATTTGAGGGTCAGAGATCCTGGATTCTTTCCCCAGTGCCACCTCTGACTTGCTTGGAGTCCCCTTGGGCCCGTCACTTCCTCTTTCTGTGCCTGATCTCTTGCACTGCCAAAGACCCTGTGATCCCTGCCCCAGGCAGTTGTGCGAATCAAATGAGGTAGATTAAGGGTGGCAGAGAGTTTTAAAACCCTGGAGTAATCCAGGGAGTCCAAACAAGAAGGAAGTTTGGTGGGAATAAGGGAATTGGTTCCATCTGCAGAGGGGAAAGTGGAGAGTCAGTCCAGTGGGCTGGTCTGCAGACAACTCCACAAGGATTGGGCTCCCCATGCCATAGACAGGAAATGGAGAATCGGAACAATTGAGCCAAGGTATCATGGTGAGGCATCAATTCTACGTCTTCCTTAGTCACTGTCCAGCTTTCGTATGCATATGACGTTATTGAAAATACCCTGGCTTGGGTTAGGCTCACCTTAGTTATGCCTTTGAGTTGTGGTGTTGGAGGAGAATATTGAAGGTGCCATGGGCTGCCAAAAGAACCAAAAGATCTGTTTTGGAAGAAGTGCAGCCAGAGTGCTCCTTGGAGGCCAAGATGGCCAAACTTCGTCTCTCATACTTTGGACATATTGTCAGGAGGGACCAGTCACTGGAGAAGGATATCATGTTTGGTAAGGTGGAGG